GGGCAGTTTCGCAACCGCGCGGCTCTCTCCTCGGCTTACTTCCTTGCATAAGATGCCCTTCAATTTTTAGTGTAACGATTTTAGAAAAAAGTATCGTCTTATAGATGGAAAAATATGGTATGTGCGTGTGTGTGTGTGTACATACCCATTCATACACCAAATCAGTCGCATCTGGAAGACATGAGAAATATGGCTACCATTTTCAACAGCATTAAAAAACAACAACTCTGATCTAAGTGACAGAAATCCTATTAAATAAAAAAGGACAGCATAAATAAATAAGATATGCTTTCAATGTCTCCATCCTTATAGCAGGAACCTTCAAATAAAAAAGCAACGAAAAAATACAGTAGTAATCATAACTAACTTTCTATATTCTCTGCAGTATTCTTTATGGCTTAAGTCCTTAGTACCTTTCAACACTCTTTCTATCATTCACAGTCCCAATATGTCTCCTATTTTTTTTCCACCATATTATTTCAGGCTATAGAGGGAGTTAATAGGCATATAGCATTCTGCAAAGCTTGTTTTCAATAATCCTAGTGGATTTACAGCTCAACAGAACAATCTTGAGACCATAACCCGGTTTGAGCAACGCAGCAGTAAATGTCATCATCAACTACTCTCTGAATCTTTGGCACACTTATAAAAGCATCTCAGGTTTTCAAATGCCCAGTTTTATTCATAGCTAAAAATAACTAAAAGTAACAAAGATATTTTAAAAGTTTACACTTTTGCTTAGGCAATTATATACTTCACAGCTTAAAAAGTTGATCCCTACCTATAAAATAAAAGCATACATGGAGAACTATTATTTATGAAAAATAAAATGCAACAAAATAGTTATCTGCTATAATCTCTCTGCTGTTAACATCATAAATTGGGAGAGGGCCCCAATATACAGTACCATCATGAACTTCTTCCAGGAGTGGCAGAATATCAATGTTAAAAAGACAAACAAACAAAAAATAAATTATCAGTGAAGATAATGTGTATTAGGACTGTGCAGTAATCTGGATTCAAAGGAGAAAGATGATCTGAAGCATGCATAGGCATGCACATAGCATCCACTGGCACCTCCTTAAATCAAGTATCTCATTTCCTGATGCTATGTGAACCCAGAAAAGACATAGCTTCTTTAGATAGCTGCTGGCAGGTGGTACATGAGTGCCCATGGATACTCTAAATCACTTTTTATCCTTCAAATTCAGATTATTGCACTGCCCTAAAATAGGTGAAAATAAAAGGAACCTAATACTTTATTTAGATTTTAAATATGTTTTTAATAGGAAAAGTTAATTAAAATAGTAAATACATTTGCTTGCTATTAAAACTGAAACCAGCTTACCTTATTCTTTGGATTTGATGTGTTCATTACATTTCGAGTCTCTTTTCCCGTGTAAATAACAACACCAATTACTGTTCCTGGAACAAATATAAGAAAGAAAGTGGTTATATGAGAATGTTATTATAGGTGTAATAACTCAACATTTTCAAAAGGGAAAAAATGACCACAAGCCCATATCACAAACTAATATAAAAGCTTCTCTTCACGTTTTTATGATATAAAAACTAGATATTCAATGAATGACAAATGCACAGGCTATCTAAAATAGAATTATCTTCCATGCCAACATTCTTACTCTCTATGGACAAAGCAAGAACATGCTGTAAATCCTGCAAAGTAGGTGGTTCCTGGCATCCAACATTACTCAGGTAGCACCATGTATACTCAACTGAAGTTTCAGATGTTGTTGTCAGCCCTCCAAGGTAGAACAGATTTGAACACCAAAGTCATACTAAAACTACTTTTATTACAGGGTTATACTAATAGAATCTTGCAACTTTGAATGTGCCTTTCCCCTCCCTGCCTTTATCCTAAAGAGAACTAGGGAAGATCCAGTCTGAGACACTTTCTCAAATTCCATTCCTTCTTTGGGCTGAGATTTCTCTTATGTGACCACTGCCTTGGCTGTACCTCTTCTTCCTCTTCCTCAAGGTTATTCTCACACCCCATTACAACTGTCTTTAAAGCAGTCCCATGAGTACATTTCAGCAATAATGGTTCTACATAATGCAACTGCATAATTAGACATGCTCCTGACATTTAGTTGAATGGGAATTTGCAACCTCCCTTTTGAAGCACAAAGGCCAGAAAACATCCAAATGTAAGTATTTCATTTCAGACTTGGTCACTTAAAATGCTTTTAGATTGTTCATATCAAAATTATCTTCCATAATTTCTAATCTGTCATTATGTAAAGCTAATGAAACTTTTTGAAGAGTAAAGCCTGGAAAGAAATCATTTCATGATTGTATATAGCTATTCACTTCCATCATGCTGGATTGAGAATATGGGAAATGTTGAACCTAATAATAATTTCAAAGATAGTAAAAACAACATTTGGGAATATGAACAGGTATTCAGTAAGAAAGAATCTGAGGATTTAAAAAAAAGGCTAGGGTTAAAAAAGGTTAAATGAGAAAATGAATAAAAATGTGAAAACTGAAATATTTCAGAAAACTGAAAATATGGCACATATTTCCAAACTATGCATTTTTTTTTACCTGAGGCAACAACAGTGCTTGCCCACAGTGTATTTTCTATGCTTAAGCTCTCATGAACAGTTGGATCACTGTCTTCCTGTAAAAAAGAAAAAAGATCAGCTTCTAAAATTGTATTTCAGAAGTACAGATTTATTTACAAATATGTATAAAGATATTAAACACCAGAATAATGACCCAGAATAGAAAAACTAATGCCTGTGAATGTTATCCAGCCTTACAATGAAAGAGAAACAATGATTTCAGAAAAAGTATTTTATTTTATTTATTTATTCAATTTGTATAGCTGCCCATCTCACATTTGTGACTCTGGGTGGCCCACATAATTAAAAACAACTAAATAACATAACCAAGAAACAAAATCCAAAAATCAGTAAAACATAGTAACTCCCTTTAAAACCCAATTAAAATTACAACTGAGAAACAGAAAAAGCAGGCAAGTGAACGTCATGGATATAACCATCTGGCAGGCTCTGAACCATAACTGGATCCCCAGGCATGTTGGCACAACCATGTCTTTAGAAGCTTTTGGAAGGCAAACAAGGTTGGGGCTAGTGTTCCAAAGGGAGGGTGCTGCAGCAGAAAAGGCTCTTCTCCTGGGTCCAGTGAGATGACACTCCTTAATAAACGGGACCTGTAACATGCCTCTTCTGCTGGATCTGATGGGATGGGTAGATGTAACAGGGGAGAGGAAGTCCCTCAAAAAACCTGGCCCCATGCTATATAGGGCTTTATAGATTATTACGAGCACCTTAAACTGAACCTGGAAGCAAACTGGCAACCAATGCAGATTGCAGAACAGAGGTATGAAAAGTGCTGATCTTGGAGTGCACGTAACTGCCCGTACAGCTGCATTTTGCACCAGCTGAAGCTTCCGGATGCTCTTCCAGGGCACCTGCAGGTAGAGTCTGTTACAGTAATCCATTTGGAAAGTGATCAGGGCATGTATGACTGAGAGTACAGCCTCCTGCACGAAGCTGTGCAAAGGCCCTCCAAGCCATGACTGCCATGTGCTCTTCGAGCAGGAGTTGTGAGTTCAGAAGAACTCCCAGATTGCTCACTGAGACTATCCAGTTACAGGGGTTGGGGTAGTGCAACCCTATCCAGCTCCAAGGATGGTTAGTCCCTGGAACCCAAAAGCCCCAAAACCCAAAGCCACTCTATTTTGACGGGACTGAGCTGAAGCTTGTTGTTCCCCATCCAAACCTCCATAGCCTCCAAACACTAAGAAAGGACAGCTAAAGGATCACTTAATTCAACAGGGGCAGAGAAGTACATACTGATAATACCTCACCCTGTGGTGACAGATTACCTCAACCAGTGACTTCATGTAGATGTTAAGCAGGAGAAGAGAGAGTACGCAACCCTGTGGGATGCCGCAAAGCAGGGGCTGAGGGCAGGAGGTCTCGCTCCTGATCAACACTGACTGGAACCAGCCCTGGAGGAAGGAGAACTATCACAATACAGTGCTGCCCACTCCCAACCCCTGTAGCCAGTTCAGAAGGATACCATGGTTGATGGCATCAAAGGCCATGAAGAGGTCAAGAAGAGCAAGGCTGGATGCACTATCCCCATCCCACTCAGACCAGAGGTCATCCAAAAGTGCAACCAACGCTGTTTTTATCCCATATCCAGATCTGAAACCTGACTGAAAGGAGTGCAAATAATCTGATTCATCCAGAATCCTCTGAAGCTTTTGTGCAAACATCTTCTCAACAACCAAAACTTGTCCAGACCCAAGTTGGGTCTCGCAATGGTTTCTGGAGGAAGGGGAAAAGCACTGCTTCATTAAAAGGAGGAGGGACAATCCTCTCTCAAGGAAGAATTCACCACCTCCAAGACCCAACCACACGTCATCTCCCCATCTGTGTCTATTGACTGTATGCAAGGAATAAATGTTGGGATAAATACAAGGGATAAATGTTGAAGAGATATCAATGTTTTATATATAAGATATCAACGTTTATATTAAACATAATATAAATGTAATATGTTTAAGAGATATCAATAATATGATTTCCATTTTCAGCAGTATGCATTCTATTTAAACTAGGAAGTTGGAACAGGTGACTGATAGACCCTATTGGGTTCCAGAGAGAGCTTGAGGTTTTTCCTGAGGACCTGTCAGGCACTTCGGCCGAGGCCTTGCTTGCAGTCTGGAGCAGGCATGTGATGGAGGCCCTGGACTGGATTGCTCCTATGCAGCCTCTCTCTGTGCACCAATCTTAGGGTGTTCCTTGGTTTTCTGAAGAGCTCCAAGAGATAAAATGCCAGAAGTGATGCTTAGAGCACTGCTGGAGAAAGACAAACAGTAATCCGACTGAACACAAGAAAGAGCCCATATTTGGGGCCTACATCAAGGTGATAAAGCTGGCAAAATGCCACTATTTCTCCACTTTTATTGCGTCTGCCAATAGCTGCCCATTCGCCCTGTTTAGGGTGACCTGCTCCCTATTGTGGGGGCTGGGCCACAGAATCATCTCCTGAGCCGCGGTGACGAATATTCATGCTATCTGGCAGACAAAGTCACTCAGATTCACTCAGAGTTGCACTCCGAATGGGCAAGTCCTAATAGTGTTTGTGATGTTATCTTGTGATATTATCTGGACTGAGTTTGATTCTGTTATGCCCAAAGAAGTGGACAAGGTCCTTTGTCTGTTAGTCCAGCCACCTGTTTGGCCCCTTCTGGGTTATTAAAGCCCAGGAGGTGACCACAAGATGGATTCATAAGGTGGTTTTGGCCTCTTTGAGTTTCCAATCTTCCCTTTCTGGCAAAGGTTATGGAAAAGGTGGTTGGACAACAGGTACAGAGGATCTTGGAGGAAATGGATTATCTAGATCTGTTTCAGTCTGGCTTCAGGCCAGGGTACAGCACAGAGACAGCGCTGGTTGCACTTGCTGATGACCTTTGGTGGAGCCAGGATGGGGGTGGTGCATCCATCCTAGTGCTCCTTGATCTCTCAGCAGCTTTCAATACTGTTGATTACAGCATCCTTCTGGACCATCTGCAGGGGGTTAGGAGTAGGAGGCACTGTGCTCCAGTGGTTCACCTCCTTCCTTAGTAGATTCCAGTTGGTGTTGATGGGGGGGGGAGTTCACGTCTGTGGCCCCTTATGTGTGGGGTGCCTCAGGGCTCAACACTCTCCCTTCTCCTCTTCAACATCAACCACTGGGTGAGGTCATCTGCCATTTCGGGGTGCAGTATCATGCTGATGATACCCAGCTTTACATCTCCACCCCAAGCAGCACAGGTGAAGCTGTCAATGTATTGACCCAGTGTCTGGAGGCTGGATAGATTGGATAGAACATACTTCGGCTCAGTCCTAAGAAGACTGAGTGGCTGTGGCTGTTTGGACCCCCTGGGTCATGGACATCACCATCTTTGGTCTTGGATGGGGCTGCACTTCCCTAGACAAGACTGGTGGGCAACTTGGGGGTCCTTTTAGACTTGCAACTACTGCTTGAAGATGACTCGCAGGTGTGACCAGGAGGGCCTTTGTACAGGTTCATTTTGTGCACCAACTGCTCCCTTTCCTTGATCAGGAGGTCCTTCAGACAGTCGGTCATGCCCTGGCCACCTCACAATTGGATTACTGCAATGCAGTCTATGTGAGGGCTGCCCTTGAAGACCATCCAGAAATTATAGATGGTTCAAAATGCAGCTGCACAAGCAGTAATGGATGCCTCTCGGTGTGCCCATGTGTCACCATTGCTACACAAGCTTCATTGGTTGCCAGTTGACTTCTGAGTGCAATTAATGGTGCTGGTTATTATCTATAAAGCCATGTATGACAGAAGGCCTGGATATCTGAGAAACTGCTTATCTCCAACTGTTTCTGCTTGCCCAGTATGTTTCAGCAAAGTGCACGGCTCCAGGTCCCCTCCATTGCCATCTTGTGGGGCCTAGGAAGCATGACTTCTCTGTTGTGGCCCTCACCCTCTGGAACAACATCCCCCCAGAGATAAGGATGGCACCCTCTCTCCTAGGGTTCTAGAAAGCTTTGAAAACCTGGTTTTGGTCCCAGTCTGAGGTTAATGTATTATTTGTTCAATGGCCCCTGTTTTGTTTTGTTGCTTTTGTTGACTATTAGATTATTTTAGTCTGGGCTGTCTGTTTGATTTAATGTTTTTAGCTGTTTTTAAGTTTTCCCTAGTTTTGTACTCTGCCCAGAGTCCACTTGAGCTGGGCAGCCAATGCATGCATGCATGC